GGGCCCTGCCGGGCCAGCGAGAGGGATGGACGAGGCTTTCGTCGTCGGAACATTCAGAACGATTTATTGAAGTCAACCTCAAGCAAAAGTTCAAATCAGTGGAATGTCATTAAAAACCTTTCCAAATTAATCCTCACGGAAGCAAAAACACATCTGAATTCCAAAGTATTTGTAAAATAAAAAAGGCAACATCTCAGTAAATATAATGTACAAAAATTATATGTTCCTACCATCACACACATTCAGTAAGAAGCTAAAATATTACAGGCAATTCTAGATACGCTATAACTAGTTGACAGTAAGCTATCTATATACAGGTTAACCAAGCTTTACAGGTTTCACACTATGCAAGAGAACATAGGCCGAACAACAAAACCCCCAAAATATCGTATATCTCAAAGTCTATGCGGCAACATCAAGTCATAATACAGTAATGCCCCAGTGGAACATCGCCAGGGAAATTTAACACTACTTCGTTAGTGTCAAGAGCTTCTAGTCAACTTCCAAAAACTCTTAAGATATTGACTTCAGTGAATATTGATGCTTTGCTATTAAAGACTCGAGTGATTTCGTTAAAATAACATTTCACAGAATCTACAAAGTTTGTTACAGATAAACAAAGTCTACAGAAATAACGACTCTACAAAGGTCATCCTTACAGATAAAGAGTACATGGGAATGGAAACGGAATCTGCAGGTATCTGTGTTGTGCAACATCACTCGCGTGGAAACAAACGGGTTTGGTTTCTCACAGCAACCCCAGGTACGCGCACACCCCTATGCGGAACAAAAACCCTTATTACCAGCCAGCTGAAATGGTAAGTCATCACCTTGTTTTCTGTGGCAACGCGATCGGTTGGTTTGAAAAGGAAAAGTGACACCAGAAATGAGATACAGCTCGACCAGTGACGAGGAAATGTTTTTTCAACCAGCCTGTTTATAACCCAAAAGCTCGGAGGGGTCCGGTGCCCGGCCGTGCCAGGATGTCTGGAGAGGACCACCACACGGCCGCCTTGCCTTCTGGAGCCGGGAGAGACAGCGCCAGGAAAGGCAGCTCGCTTCTCTCTGGCACACGACCCCCCCCCGGCAGTTAGTACCACACGAGAAACAGTGAGTGAGCGAATGGCTTTGGCAAATTCATACGCGTTTTCCCTTTTTGATTTCACATTAATTACAGAAGTCTTCTGTGCAAAGCACAGGCAGAGTTTCAGCTTAACAACTCCCCTCTCTCCGGAGCAGTGGGATAGCCCCTCACAGGGGTAACAGGGACCTGAGCTTGCCACTCAGGGATAGAACAGAATAGGAAACAGATTTTTTTTTCCTTTTTGTTTTTTTCCCTTTTTTTTTTTTTTCCTTTTTTCCTCAGAACAACATTGTGAATACATCCAAAGTGTAGGAGTGTATCGTAAGTGCAAATGTTTTTGCTACACAAAGATAAATGGTAGGGGAAAGTTGATGGAAAAGTGAAAGCAAACGGACAGCATGACTCCAAGGTTGCCGTCTCTCATGCAACACACTTCTTGAACACACACAAGTCTGAGACAGCTGCTTTGAAAAACTCTCCCATTTGCCATAGATTCACTGTACAGTGGGAGCAGAAAGTAACTTCAGGGAAGTCAAAGACATTTTCAATGTAGTATACAAAAAAAAGTTATGTATAAATAAAAAAGCTGTATAAGGAACTGCAGAGCTTCAAGTACATTAAACCCTGAATTCAATGAGGCAGAGGTTTCAATGTTAAAGTGACTACTTCGTACCAGCGTTGGACATCCCCCCTCCCACCCTCCTCCCCCACCCCACCCACATATCTCTGTAAAGTTTCAATATATACAGATTTTATGCTCACTGTTAATCATGTCTAGTAATTGTGTCTTTCCCATTCTATCCTGAAATTAAGATACAAGAAGTTTTTTAGAAGAAAGGCCAAAATTAAACATTCCAGCCCTATTACTCCATTTTAAAAGATTCTCTAAGACCATGGTGGTGACCAGAGAAGGTAATTTGCCCACAAAATTGCCTTTAACATTATCCTTCCTGAGCTGCAAACGCCTTCAACAGTCTATTGACAGGACAAGTCTATCCTAATAATCTGAAAGCTACAATAACTAATGCTTGCACCATGTATGGAGAAAATGGTAGTAACCAGCCATTGCACCGTTTGGCCATGGTCTGCAGAACGCCTGCGCTGTGCTACGGTGCGAGCTGTAGAGTAAAAGCTCCAGTAAACAACCAAATCCCGTTAACTTTGCAGAGCAACTCGGACACCGCATGCTACAGAGCGCACAGGCGACAGAGCTGGAGTCGGGTGCGTGGTGCTATCTCAAAAATTTAAAACAAAAGTAAGGGAAAAGTGTGATGGTGCATCCCAGTTAAGGAACAACGGACAGTCTTAAACAGCAGATTTAAGTCCTCAACCGAAATCACCAGCAGTTCTGTGGATTTCTTCCAGGCCTCAGCATGGAATGACCGAACTGCCCAGTATTACTTATCTCATTTTAGAGACCACGCAAATTTAGAGACCACCAGCAGCCGACTCCCCCTCTGCTGATGCTGATTATCAAAACACAGCTCTTAAATCTTTTCCTTACAAAGGAATTGCATTATTGTTCTATTCTGTTTGTAAAAATGTGGTTAAAATGCATACTTTAACATTATGTGTTTGGCATATAGAACAGTTACCAAGATACCTTGAATTAGGTATTTTCTTATCTCAGAATGTTAAAGTTTCGTGAAAGATTCACCTTCTCTCCAATAGTGTGAAATCCAGTTCAGACTTTTTGTTCCTAAGTACGTACAAGCTTATAAACCAATCTCCTATCTTCCCTTTTAAGTCCAAGCCCCACTGCTAGCTATTATTAATCTTTTTTTGGTGGAAAAAAGGAGCACCTGTAAGAAGTTTGAAAACAAAGTTAACCAAGACATCAAGTGGCATGGCACAGGAGTAGCAGCAGGCCTCAATTCACAGCATTTTACAAGTTTTTAAGCCTTCTGTGAACCTTCACATGTTCTGCGATACTCGGCGCACCGGCACGTCACAGCAATACGTCTCACGTGGCGACCGATGGTCCGTGGCTCTCGTCTGCTCCCTGCCATGTCGAACACTCGTGAGGGCGTTCTGGTGCTACCACACCATTTCCCTCCGGTCAGGAAGCCACCACGGACACAGAATGAAAAAAGCGTGTAGGTGCCCTCACACGATAGCGTATTTGCAATACTCAGAATGCTCTAAGAGAAAACAATTTGAACGTTACCAAGCCTAATAAATAATATAAAGTAAACACATCGGGCCTTACAGACACTGTAGCAAGAGCTATGTTTGGAATTTCTGAAAAGGTTAAACACCCCCAGTAAGAGCTTAAAAAGAGACATTTATCACACAAAACGTTAAGAAAAATAAAATCCTTTTTGTAAATTTTTTTTGTAAAAAATACCAAAATATAGCACTGCTTTCAAGCAAGAGTAGTGTTTCAGACATTCACTGTAGTACGGACCACAAGATGAAGTGCTTTATAGAGCCCATTAGCCCTCTGTACCATAAACTGACCCACGAGAGATCTGCACAGTTATGCCACCCAAGACACCCACAAGTTTGTAGGAAAGGCATCTGCAGACCGTTCAGAAGATGAACTGCCGGATCAGTTAAATGGCACAGCAGCTGCTTAAAGAGACTGTAGTGTATTTTGTAATTTTACAATTGCACACAAAAAAATTTCCCCCCCTGTACATAAATTTGAGGATGAGAAGGACACCAGCCAGAGGGAAGACATGTTCCAAAATCCCACATGTACTTTTTCAGCCTACTACTTTCTTGAACTGAGAAGTCACCGTGTTCCTGTAGGTTTATGTAAGCAGTTTTCCAGAGATAAGGTTCTTAATTCTTAATTCAAAGGCTTAATTTAGCCAGATGCCAGCAACACTTAATTCTTTTCATTCAGGATTGTTTTCAATACCCATTAGCAAAAAGCTAGCATGAAGTTAGCTCATATCGGTATACAAGTCAAAAGTACGCTCTAACTGTATCAGGGCAGGGGGAGATGCACAGCGCCTTGTAAGATGGGGGGCCAGGGGAGAAGATTCACCAAAGACTAACTTCAGCCTGGGGAAACTAGTCCCCCTAGGCTCCCTGCACAAGAAATGGAGGAGGATAGGTTTTCAAAAGAAAATCTGGAGCAGGAGCCTACCTAAGCCATTTCAAAAGCCTCACTGAAGGAGCCTGTCTCTCTACCGATTAACAGAAGAAACCCAAGAGAGAACTGTCTCATGAGGCTGAAGTTGGCTGCTGCGAATACGGCCCCTTACCCAGACAGAAAATACCCTGTTCATTGAAGAAGTGCTGAGATTTTTCTTAGCTCCGTTAACAATGAAGATTAAAGTCAGAAGATCTCTCTCAGCAAAAAAATCTAAACATTCAATCAAAACAAACATGCACATGGGTTGGATTCCTTAAGCGCTCAAATTTCCTTTGAAGCTAAAGGGAGTCTGAGAAGGCGGCAATAAAGAATCACACTAATATAATTGCCATAAAACAAGTGCAGATTTGGCAGATGACAAATACATGTGCACGGAACAATCCTCCATCTAAAGAAGTCAGTGGCAGAGCTCCCACTGGCAGGATTAAGACTTCAGTTCTGAGTGTGCTGCAGTATGTGACCGAGGCCAGGAGGCTCTCCTAACTACGAAGGTTTTCCAAATTAGGCGGGATAAAGAAATTACCATCGTGCAATTAAGCTCTTTCTGAATTTCCACCTGTCTGCAAACACCGATTATAGCTCTTGAGCAAGGAACCATGATTTCTTCCCTCCTTAAACAATGCTAGATCTCGTGTTACAAGCACTTCCAAGAAGTCATACACCTGATTTCTCATAGGAAAAGCTTTTCAATAATATTCACAAGTTAACATGATATATAACCTACCTTCTCAAAATGCCTTTAAAAATAAGTACTGGAATGGAGGCATTTCAGGGTCACCTGGTCTGAAACCCACATCTGTCTTTATGGCATCTCAATGTTACACAGAGTGGGGAGGCTTTATTCTTTTCATAAACTAGACATAAAAGTTACATTGGCTTTGCTATTTTGTTTTTAAAGACACGTTGACTGATCAAAACCAGATCTTCAACACCCTTTAAAAATTAAATAAATAAATATGTTGCTATGCTTTGCTTTCTACACTCAGAGAACATTTTAAACAGAATTTTCTTTTCACTGTCAAAAGGTCTACGTTTTTCTTTGAAGGCCAAGACCTTTCTGGTTTCCAACAGTAAGAGCTGCTGTAGCACATTCAAGGGTAAAAGACCAAACAATAAAAAACAAACACCACTGCCTGCTTCTGCTTGCTAAGATTAAATGGTCCCGTTCCCAGTTCACACACGACGGCTCCGATGACAAAGACTGAATGTGTCATAGCAGTCTCTTCAAGTTCATCGCCTGTTTGCCCCTCTTCTCCCCTCCCTTGTTTGTTTTTAACCAAATTCACTCCTTTGCTTCTTCTACAGGATTCTGTGGTTCCAATTTGCACTTTATCTTGCTCCAGTACTCAGGTGCCACAGGAGATTTGGGGTCATGTGCAGAGCAGCAGAGACGGCCATCCAACGCTGATGCCACCAGGGCTCCCTTCTCGTGATCTTTACAGAATGAATGAGGGCAAAACTCACAGAATGAAACTGCAGGATTGCTACAGACGTCGCACTGATGCCACGGACATTCCCACTTTCCTGAGGATGGGAGGGGAAGGGAGAAGAGAGAGACAGGAAGCTGAAATTAGTGCATTTTGGGGACAGCACTGGCCTTTAACCCTTACTCCATGTTGTAATTGTTCAGATGAATGCAAAGAAAGTTCAGAAAAATCAGCTCTTACTGTAGTTGCTACTTCTGCTTCTCATTTACAAGAATCTGACTGGAAACAGTTCTTAGTCACTTTGCATTTTTTAGGCCTCACTTGGCTCAAAACATTGCTGCATGCATAACCAGAGCTTAAAATAGTTAGATCAACCTCCTTGGGCATCAAGACACCAAATGTCCTTGCAAGATGGAGAGTTTGTTTTGTACATTTTTCTGATTTGTGAGCATCTCTTATTGACCTGGACACAGTACTCGCTCAGATGGGTATCTCCAAATTAAGTTTTAGTTCAACTGCAGTTTACTTTAATGTAGAAGACTGAATGCATTAGTTTTGAAAAATAAGCGAGAAATGGCTCAGAGAAGAACAAGTTGTGTAAAAATATGTTTGAGCATAAACAAACCCCAGATCCCCCAAACCACTCAGACATGCATTTGTATGACCATGTGCTGAACTCTCAGACTGCAAAGGTATACTGAACATGGCAAAAAAGGAAAGTCAAAAGCTTCTTGCTGCTGTGTCCAAGCCTCGCTGAAGTCCCTTTTGGCTGGGTTACTGTTGAGAAACAGAGAGCACTCTCCTTCACAGGGAAATGACGCACCGCATTTACAGTGTGTCGAGACCTGCATCCTGAAGAGCGAGAATAGCACCAAGATGGGACTCCAGACCTCTAATGAAGTTGTAACTAGCCTATCTGGGCCAGGCTATCCCCCCCCCCGCCCCAAACTTCAAAGAGAAACAAAGCCAAACAAAAAAACCTAACTCAAGTTGCTCTTGGTGCTAAGATGCTATCATTTCTTTCTCTAGCAAATCAGCTATTTTGAGGATAGTTTCCATGTTTCTAGTAAGCTGAAAAGGCACATGACAGATTCAACTTCACTCATGGCAGCCTTTTGGTTAATATAATCATAGACTAATCTGCATTTCCAATTATTTTCACTGAAGTCTTTGGAAATTGGGAAGATTAAAGAGATAAGGACTTTTACAAAATCCTGCAATCGGATCAAGATGTTGTATTGCTGAATAATTTGAGCCCTGGCTACAAAAAGCTATGCCTTAACATGGAAAAAGTCAAATGGAAGATACGTGCCATCAGGATACAGTACATAATTTAAACACATTTACTCATTAATCGAGCCCTACACATCACACTTGCTATGTCAGTGGTTTGAACTATCACTTGATGTCCCAAGGTCACCGAACGCACATCAAGATGCTGTTTATATTTCAATCAAAATAAGAAGAGGAAATTTGATCCAAGAAAGAGATGCAACAAAAAGAACATTAAAAAGTATTACAGTGCCTCTCTGTCCATCGGTTCTCATTTAGGAACACTGCCACCTGATGTATTTCTAAAAATGAGTGGTATTGCAAAAGCAAATATGCTGCATTTAATGTAAATGAATACTGCATTTCAGCTCAAACATTGTCTTGCTGCAGGAAGGAAAAGATGAATAGGAAGCCATACAATCACTCTTACCAAAAGGTGGTTGAGTCAGGTTAAGGCATAGGAGGTGGTATGCTTTGGGACAGTCCTTTTTATCACACATGACTAGCTCTCCCCCATCTCCACACTGGAAACAGTTGTCTTCATGCATCTGCTTCTGTTCTGTTTTTATTTTCCGTTTCTTCTGCTTTAATTTTGCATTCTTCACCTTCTCTTCATTTGCCGTTGCAAATGCTGTCTAGCAATTACAAAGATCACAGCATACAGTCACTTTATAAACCCCTTGCATTAAAATTAATTTAATCAACTTTGGGTTATTATTTGCATGAACTATGCTTAAATTAAATCCACTCAAAAATGTTTTTAAGCTATGAAAGCCAGAAATGCCCATCCACATGTATCTGAATTAACACAACAGCAGTACAGTGCATAACTGTAAAATCTTTAGAGACTTTCAAGGGTGGAAAGTATTACATAGACTAAAGTAAAAAGTTAAATGAAACAAAAACCTCTCTGTGCCCTACTCTCACTAGATCTCTGGATTTGGGAAGCGAAGCTTCAATTTTCATCCGTGTACCTTTGGACGCACTCCTAGGAAACCACTGCAGTTTTCTGCTCCACAATGACATTCGGTCCTACCGTTGCCCAGGCAATCCAAATTGTAATTGAATGTTAACTCCATTCCTAAAATTTAAAGAAAAACAATTCACCCACACAGGCACTGAGGAAAGACAGGCTGTGACAATGACATTTCATTAGCATTTATCTCTTCATAGTCTGTGAGATCTAGCAGCAACATGTTTTGAAAGAGCAAGCTTGAAGTAGTGCATCGATTTCATGAACTTTGAAAGTAGCAAATTCTGCCTAGATCAGACACAAGTAGCAGCTACACTATCATACAGACCCAGTTAAAATGACAGATCAGGTAACACACTTAACGTGGAAAGGTAATACCACACCAGACAAGTATCGGTGAAAGCATCAACACTATGGTAAGCATTTACATGACACAGGGTTAACATTGTGCCTAGCAGCAAACCCTGTAGTTAGCTTTAACAGTAGCTTTCAGCTTCAAACTATTTCTAACTATAAGATCCCTGCTAAAACTGGAAGCCAAATATTTGTCTCCACTCCAATGAATGACAAAGTTCCTATAAACGTCACTGGTATTAAGTAACTCCAGAGAAAACCATGGCCAAGTTAGGAACTTAGCCATTTCAAGACAAAAGTATACATGCAAAATAGTGCCATCTTTTTACCTGCAGGAATATCACAAAGAGCAAACAGTCCAACTCTAATGTCACCATTCACTGTCCATTTCTGTGTTTCACAGTTTGGATTACAACTATGGTTCATAAAACGAGAGTAATTCCCCTTTGGGCCAGCATCTATTATCCGGTCCTTCAAATAAAAAGACAAAGACATATTTAGTATTTACAAACAAAAAAAGGTTTCCTGCTGACAAGTGACTACTAATGGCTAAGGCAGCAAAAAATATGTTTATTCTAAATTAGTTAAAAGTGGTAAGTTTTCCCTGCAGAGTTAGTTTTACGAAAAAGTGTCTGAATGTTTGTGCTTACAGAAGTGAAATAGGCACAGAGCGCGTAACCTAAGATACAGGCTGTTTCATCTCTTCACCCATTCCATTAAAAACAAACACAGATGTTATCCTCCTACCAACACTCAGGTGTCAGTAGGAGGATAACATCAAACATGGAATGATGCTTCTGCCAGCATTTTGCCCCTAGTTTCAACCATAAACAGTTTATATTGAACAAGACATAATATTTACCTTTGTTACAGTTAACATATAAAAATTGGTTACGCTGTTTTCATGTGCACGTTTGATCCGCAATCTGCACTCTTCTTCGTCAATCAGCTCGCCAACATATTCATTCACAAATTCACCCTGAAAAGTAAAGGAAAACAAAAATAAGAAATCCATGCTTACTACTTCTTACGATGATAAAGGGAAGCAGCACAGAAAAAAGCACTTCCTATAAAAATATACTCTAATCATCACAAAAAGCATTAAACTTTAACCATCTAGTAGGCAAGACGTGAGTATGTGCACCAGGTATTTGTCGTCTAAGCAATAAGCCCACTCAAAATAAAAAGGCAGCAGAGCCAAGCACTGTTTCTGTATTGACTACACAAGCCATATTTGTCAGTTCTCTAATCCTTTAAAGTTTCATGCTTTCTTTTATAAAAGACAGTAAGACAATATTCATAGTTCATGTTTCCTTAGGAGTCTATTACAATGGCAAGTATTTTCACTACATACTTCACTTTTATTAGTACTTTTAATAGTCAATAAACTCAGAACATTTGCAGTAACGAAGTTTTAATGAAACACAATTATACAAAAATTGCAAATTTAAAAAAATTAATCGCTAAAAAACATGTTTAAAAGTAGCCCTCCAGGCCAACAGTGTGTTCCCAACTTTTAACCAAGGGAATTCAGAAGAGCTGGGACATGGATTGATACCTTGATACAAGGGAGTCAACACTCAGCACTCTGAGCATCACTTTTATCAAGACAGCCAGTTGCTGATGGTTTAAAACACTGTTAAAAATAGCTATTTGAAATACTCAAATTCAAGTGTCCAACAAGCACCTGATAATTCAAGAAAAAAAATCTTGTAACATACAGTACCCACATGTTAACAAGCGCTACCCTGTCAGCCACGCTCGGGGCAGTCGCCGGGACAAGCGACTTCCGAGATGCCCTGAAGGATGCGACGGGGCTCCAGGCAGTAATGCCTGTCCCGGCGTGCCCTCGCCCGCGGCTGTCACAACCCAAACATGAATGAAGAAAGTGGTAAATGAAAGGGGTAAGGGTGGAAATCAGGCAATTCAGGTCACGTTTCTGAGAGATAAGTGACCTAAGTGACTCAGAAGCCCGGCACTCGTTAAGACCAATTTACAGTTTGGAATAGTCTGAGTCTTATCTAACGTATATTCACTTGATAAAAATCACTTAGATGCTTCTGAAAATTTTAGCCCAAATCAAAGGGAAAAAACCAAAGTCCCTTCACCGCCAAGTTGCTTTCAGTTCAGCCTGTGTGTTTGGGAACACCTGGACAATTCAACAGAACCACCAACAGTTTTCAGTAAAGCTCTTACAGGACACAAATGCATTTATAAATTTTGTGTATTAAATTCACAGGAACTCTACTATAAAACAACCCAAAACCTGCTATAAAAATTCACCAGGTACTTGGGCCAGGAATAGTCGTAGTGTATTGAAAGGTTTTTAAACACAGCTTTCCCCCCCACTATTCCTCTAGCTACTTGTCAAATCAGTCAGGTATGAACAGGTTGAAAAAAGTCCCAAATGCCGTCAGAAGTTTCCACCTATAACCGACGGAGTGGTTAACAGCATCCTCACTGAAACTGGTCTGTTAAAACATCGCCAGTATCACCCTACTCACATGCATGCTTGTCACAAACCACTACGTAATATTTCTCTATCTCAGATTTTTAGAGACTGTAAACTACATTTTAAAAAGCCAAGGAGGTAGATGTCTGGTAAAAATGGACAAAAGCAAAGAATTCACAGTTGAAATTACTATATGTAAGCCCAAAGCTTTCATCTTGATGTTGCAGGACCTCTTCAGTGGATTATCCTACACACTACCTGTGCATACAGTTAAATACCACGCTGCTTAATGGTAAAAGAATCAATTCAGGATCTCCTCGCTTTTTCTAGACTGTCTGATTACACCAGAAGCTAAACAGATCATCCCAAAGCGATCATCCAATCCAAAACGTCACAGCAGAATTTCCAGCCTGCAGAGCAGCCGCTTTCTCTCTACAAATCAGAGCAGTGTAATTCTCACATCAAGTTCGAGTCCACCATAACTACAGCCTGTTTCCTCGTGATGAGAAGCTCCAGGATATTGTTGTTGCTAGACGAGTGCAAATTCAAACTGAAGAAAATATGAAGGCAACCAAGAGCAAAAGAGTTCTCTAGAGCAGAGTCTTGAGGATGTGGGTTACATGACAAAAACAACTTGTCCTGAAGTCTTAAAGTGTCCAATCCCATCTGTGGCCATAACTGCATCTTCTTCTCTTCAGGTATGCTCAGCCATCTCCTTGTTCAGAAACAACGAAGCCTGCATGAGTAAGAGCAAAACACACATCCGTCCATCAGATCCATTCCTCTGCCTGGCAAGTTAAAGCAGAGGTGAAATCCAGGCCAATCATCCTCATGCTTGCCTCGAAGTACAGCAAGACTGCAATCCAGCTAGACGAGGATTCTCACACTTAGATATGCAAGTGTAAGATTTTGTTTTTTCATATCAACCGTTGCGTATCCCACCTGAATCCCAGACTGGTATCCCCAGTAATACAGTGTGCAGCAATACAGTGTCAAGGAAAACCGGAGTGATCCACATCCAATGGCTTTCTGACAGTCAGGGAAGAATATTCCCATTCCCCCACCTCACTGACTGCACCCACGAATACTCTCAAAGACGCCAGCCATTCTAGTATTTAAGCCAAAGTCCGTAACATTTCCTGAGACTAGTCAGTCCTTGCTGCTTTTTGTTACAATAGCAGCGTCATTTCCATCAACAGAAATCTCTGTATCTTCATTATTCTTCTCTGCCTTCTTGAACTTCTAAGAACCTTTAAAGTTTGTTGTCCAATGCAGCCTGATCACCTCAAGCGTTTCATTAATCCCCTGTGAGTTCTTCTGAAACAAATCCAGGCTGAAGAGTTGAACGCCAGGAAGGTGAGAAAGCTGACTCGTTACCAGACGTCTGTAAGAGTAATACCGCAAACTCCCCCACTCCAAGCAACCCGCTAACGGGAAAATGCCGTCCGCATGTCACTGTGTAACAGCGTAAAAAGGCAAGGCAAAAGGAAAGACTTAAGAATAACCCCCTGAAAAGGGGCTCACAATTCAAGCTGACTCCACCCACCCTTTGAGGTTCTCTCATATTTTGTGATCGTCATTTGCTGGCTTATGATAAGGACGAGGGGAAGAAAAGGAAAAAAAAACCACAGAAAAAACAGGCCACTTATTTTGCCAGCCCTCTAATATTTCATCATCTTTAATGGCCTTATTTGGAGAAAGAAACCATCATTCAGACTACGTTTTCCCAGACCGCTCTCTCCTCTTTTGCCCAGTAGGCAATGAGAAAACACACGCACGCTCTTTCCCTCCACGAACAGAATTCACAAATTCACAATCACCTGGAACTAGCTTTTCTTCTGTAAGTATCAAGGTTAAGATGCTTCTGTCAAAACAGCTCCACCTACAAAAGTTTCATGTCCTTTTAACACAAAGCATTTACTTGCAAGTGCTGAAATTTTTGTATGCATTCGCTTAACGTACTCAGAGTTGCAGTGTTTTCACATAAAACCACACTGATGGTTATCACAACCTTTGTCCTTTGTAATTCTACCTTTTTAATGCTCCTTTTTGTCCTGAGACCCCATCCACGTCGATCAGTTTTTATGATTTCAGCATCAGGGTAGAGTCTTTTGGTGAAACACTGGTTCTGACATCGCTCTCCCGCTGGGCACACCTGGGGATGGCACTCATACTGCAGCATCCTGTTCAGACACTCCGACTCCAGGCCACAGGGGTTCTCGTCCGATGGCTTGCAGTTACAGCGAGGGATTTCTGACAGATCAGCTACCTGAATCTGAACCTTCCCTATTACCTTGTTGGACTGTGGAACAAAGGAAAAAAAAAAGAATAAATGAAGGACAACGCACAAAGAACACAAACTCAGCAGCTTTATTAGAGGCCAGTTATCAACTGACACGAGAAGGCAAGAAACTAACGATTATGTCATTATTTTTCTTCTAGACCCTTTTGAAGGACAGTGTGTCACAACAAGTATACTTCCTGCAATTCAGAAGCAGACACATGCATGCACTTTTACAGACGGCATCTGTTGCCACTCAGCTACCAACTTAATTGGGGACATACACTGTTCAGAGAAGCCAGTAGTGAGCAATTTAAGTGAAGAACATTAAAACTCATGACTCCAGACAGTACAGCATGAGTCTCTCCCCAGTAAAATTACTGGTTCAGGAACTCAAAGCACACAAAGTTTATCAAGTACATCACTGGGATTTCTTCCAACTAAATCTAAAAACATTAAAGAAATAACACCAAGCCCTATGTGTCCAAAACTGCTGGCAGGAGTTAGACTCTGCAGTAGGATGAACAGTCAGTATTCCTACTAATATTGAGTTCAGTGTTAACAAAGTTTAGTAATAGCCAGCATGTATCTAAGACACACGACATGAGCTTGCAACCTGCGAAATTCTACCTTAGGTGAAACTGTTCTTCAACCGTTAACTCTCTCTCACAAATACTCTGCCAAAAGAATGTTTTATGGTACTATAAGACAGAACAAAAGATTCTTGAGAAGAAGAGCAAAATTATTTATTTGAATTTCCTTAAGCTTGAACTATTGCAAATATTGGTTTAAATACATAGCTTACCAATGCACAGAATAAAAACAGGAAAAGAAAGAAGCCAACTCACTTTAATGTGTTTATAAGGTGGAGGTTTCCTTGAATTTCTTTCAATTTCTAATGCCTCTTTGCTTTCTCTTTGTGCTTTCAGCTCCTGGAAGCGCTTTGCCGCTTCTTCAAGTGCTGCGCAAGGGAGTTCAAAATAGAAAGCAATTAGCACCAGCTGCTGTTAATCAGATATATACATGTATGTATTTACATTTTTCTTTTTTTTTTTTTTTAAAGTTAGGAATAGAACTCTATAAACAAAAACACAAGCTAAAAATGAGTTATTGCAGTATATCATGAATCTATCATCAGGCGCTTTTCAGTAGGTACGGAGATACTGAACAATGATCCCATGCAGCAGAGCCCAAGCTCCATCTTAACATTTCCCAGTCTGTGGAAGAATTGAACTTGCCCACAACAATACACAATGAGTAGGCACTTAAAGAAACCTATTTTTATCTGCAGTCAAGGGATCTACACAATGTTTGCAATTTTACATGAACACAGAACACTAGTCACATAATATTCCCATGCAGGTTAAGTGGTGATGGAGACACAAACATGTGGAATTTTTGTCATAAACCACTATAAACTTTGTTTGATTTTACCTTTCTTGAAGGTCTTGTTAATACTAGTTTGCCCCTCAGCAAAGCTTTTATCTCCTTCAACATAAGGGAAAACTCTGCCCTGGTGTACCCAATAGTAGTCATGTGAACCAAAGAAAAATACTGGGAAGTCCCCGATATCATGTTTGAGGCCCTGTATGTTGAGAGGCACAGACCTGGGATTGCAGATCTCTGCTGGCCACCACCTGAAAAGTAGGGGAGAAGAAAAAAAAACAAAAGAATATAAGTTCCTTGAACTATAGCCTTAGCTTCTGAGCTTGCCTAACTGCATTGAGAAATAAAAGCCAGTTTTCCTTTCTTAAAGAAATTAACTCCTTCCTCATGCAGTCAAGGCTCCCTTTAGCAATACTTGGGAAGCACCATGCAAAACACAAGAAAAGTTCTTATTCCAGATTTTGGAAAAGCCTTGTAAGAACATCCGTGGCACAAGAGTGGACTTCTAAGATCACCTACAAATGCTTGTATTCCTGCAGGTGACTAACAGCAAACACAAACTAGGCCATCTTGGTTCTATCAGACAGCCCCTGGTTTCCCATCTCTCTATTACGCTCTACAAAGCAAATGTAAGTGCAATCAAGTATCCATCATTGCCTGGAAAAAGCAGGAGAATTTAATTTAAAGGGCGACGTCGATGTCGGACACAAAGTAGATGAACTATTGTATTTCTAGTTCTTGTTTACGAAGACTGAGCTGCTTTATCTTCCTGTAATTCTATAGTACATTAAAAACATCCAAAGCATTAAAAAACAAAAATAGTGAACTTGCCTGTAATTTCCAAGCTTGACCCAAACAATCTGCTTGTAACGTAGCTTCTTGCCAGCTTTACAGTCATTGCAATTCCAGCATCCTTCAGGCATTTCTATGTTGAGACACTCAGGGTGAAAGGAAGCTGGGCAGGATTCACAGCATAACAGTTTTCCACCTTTAAACAAAGAAACCCTGCTTGGTTTATAGAAGTAAGGTTTTGCTTCCCCCTATGCATAGCAATTGACATTCATTTTAAATCATCCATTCTACATTCTTGTTTGCCTCACAGAAGAAAATGGCAAAAGAAAGGGATCAAGTCAAACTTAACAATGTTGGTTAAAAAAGATGGTGCAGTGCAATCATATAATGCACAAGTTGTGACTCTTAACTGCATCAAAGATACACAAAAAAGCAGCTGAGTATTTTTTAAACGTGAGGTAAGTTGGCAGGACAAACAACATTCCCAAAGGAAGCACTGCATCTGAAAGCAGTGCTGTTAGCTTTCATTTCTTTGGTGATGGCCAAAACTTTGGTTTATTTCTTTGGTGAGGTGATAGCCAAAACAATGACAAATAACCAAATTTTTAAGAAACACTTTTTCAATCAACATTGTTATGACTGAATCCCTCTGCAATCAGTTAGTGTGCATTAAAAAACCCCGCAGCCTATAGGTTGATCAATGCTTTTCTGTACCAAGGACGTTATAAAAGAATTGTAATAAGTCTGTTTATTCCACAAAAAGAAATTTACCAGTATGAGCACAGTACATAATGCAGAATGAGACACCACACAAGTTGTCCCCATCCCAAAAGTTCCTTTTGTGCACAAAGGAAATCTTAGCACAGTGGTTAACATTAATTTCTGAAGTTTACACTTATTTGGACAAAAGTTGTTTTGGCTGGCTTATATTTTGGCAGATGTATTAAATGTGGAGAGCCACAGCACATCTCTAAGCCACCCTCAGCAAACAAAGCAGCTCATACAATAAGACTTGATACATTACACATATTGTAATATTTTATATATGTAAGTATATAAAATATATATACACACATTTTTATAGATATATAAATTTTTAAAAAATTAACAAGTTTTTGTGTCCCAGATGAAAAATCTGGGAGAGACTTGAGAGTATTTAAAGCAATTTTCAAGCACAATATCAAAAGAAGTGTGAATAGCAACTTTCAAACATTTATCAGAAAATCTTGTCCACCTATAGACTTTCAAAAATGTCATTGCATTAATCGATTGTTGCATGTCACAATAAGCATTCCTTAAACAAATCAGTTGCATTTCCAATACTGTATTTCCTCTGCTAAAAACAATAAAATCCAACCATATGGATTTTCCAGAGCTCCCCAAATCCATAATAAAATTTTAACCTTTAAAATATTTTTTTGCAAATGTTATTTCAGAGGAAATACAGACCCAGTGTAAATTACTGAAACATTATCCAACATGGTAAAATGCCAAGAGATGCAAAAATCAAACAAAATCAAACACAAAACTTTCAGTGCTAAGCAAGAAAAAAAACCAACACTGCTCTCAGGATGCATTAGTAAGATATTGCTCAAGCTAAGCAGAGGGCTCAAAATAATTTTTGTTTTCAGGAATTACAGGAACTACTGAAAGCCATCAATCTAGCAACGTTCAAAATAACCTAACTTTAGAATGGTTAATTGGGCACCGTTTCTGAACACTCTCGGGAAATCAAATTTCTGTGGGGAATAAAATATTACATCTGAGTATTTTATACAGACAACAGTTATCTCCCCATAAGGTATTCTGAGATGCTACAGCACCACCCACACCAGAATAAAACGATCTCTCTCTCCCGGAGCTGCAGCGTTTTCTGCACAGGACAGAAAGCATCTCCTGCCACTCCTACACGCAGCACTGCTTCAGAAAGCGAGTACCCGTCCTGCGAGGAGGGGAAGGAGCACTGGCTGTCCCAAGCTGGTGGAGGTGGAACACGAGGCCCAGGGACTAATGGACACATACGCAGGCAAAACCTGGCTGCCTTCCCCCTTCGGACATCCTCTGGATGGCAACAGGACCCACCCGCGTTCAACCTGAAAAATCCTTTCTTCTCTCAGGCTCTGCATAAGCTACCTAAAAGATCTGAAACAGAACATCCCCCCCTCTTCTTCCACATATAAAATCAATTTAAGAAGCTGTTTACATCATCCTGGTAAGTACTGAACTGCAACAATATCAAGCTCTATTTGCCACCTCTTCTCATTACTGTGTAAATAGCTTCCCTGAAGCTGGAATAGCCTAGGCCAGATACAAAGTGATTTAACCTCTTTCAAGGAGAATTTAGCGACAGTAATTATTTTAAGCCCTTTTGTAATAAAAAAAATTGCCAACAACAAGAACACACGCTCACAATAATCAATGAGTGAAGTTTACTGAAAAGCAATAAGTGGTGCTTGACAAGCAGACATTTCTTGTTTGATTTCAAGAGAGAGAAATAATAGAAAAAGCGAAAGTAAATTAAAGAGAAAGAAACTATTTTGGTTACCTTTCTCACATTTCTTTTTGGAAGCTGACGAAGGAGGAGGAATCATAGGTAATTTCATCAACTCAGCACGATTTGATTCATTCAGTAGGTAGTGGGACTTATAGGCATATGAACTGAACAGGGGGTCTGAATGATCCTGCACTACCAACCCTATACGAAACAAACAGAAAGAGATGAGTTGCAATGAAACTACCCATGATTCCATAAAGGAGAAAATAAAATAAATCAAATGAACACCTCTAATGCATTTATGTGTGAATGAAAAAAAGATAAAATGAAGAAAAAGAAAAGTCTGACAGAAAGTTTCTTGACTAAGAAAGAGGTTGTGTGTTTGAGAGACTAAATTAAAATGTAACTGGAAAAATCTGATGAATAAGCTGCTTCTAAGTGGAATTTCAATTGTGCTTTTACCCTTAATTTGTGCATTTATAGAAAAGCACAAGAAAAGCAACAAATTTTATAATCTGTGTGAACCACCCTCCCTCCCAAATGAAAAAAGCTAATTTGAAAAGCTGGGGATGATGGTCACTGCATCAAAGGTCATGCTGTTAGTTGGGGCTACAAACTGAAAAAGCAGACGTTGTATACAAGAACTCACCATCCCACTTACTACAAATCTACCTCTAAGATCTTATCTATGAAAGTGTTTTGCCTTTATAATTGTGTTGGAAAAGAATAACAAGGGGGGTCAGTTATTCTGCAAGGCACCAGAGGGGAAAGAACGGATGAAAGTTCTGCCCTACGCCATTTGTTTTTAAGTAAAGCTCCACCAACCCTGCCCTCCCACAGCCACCAAATTAAACACTTTGGAGCAGTCAAACACTCTGTTCTCCTATATGCATTTATTTCAAACGATGTGTTTGCATTTCTCTGTCTTTCTCCACCCAGAAGAGTTTTTCCTCATTGCTCCAAAGAGCCAGGCAGCCCAGGTGAGAGCCCCATAGCTACAGATCAGAAGCATTTGGCCAGCAATTCATGGGAAGAGCAGAGCAACTGAGACCCAAAGAAGCAGGAAAGATGAGCTACCAAGATAGCCGCCAATTGCTTCCCTTGTGGGACACCCGCAGAGCTGAGTGCTGTAGAGAAGCTTTCAAACTGGGGTGCCTAAAAAACTGCTGTAAGGAGAACGGCGTCAGCCTACCTGGAAAGCACGTCCTCAGGAGGATTCATAAAACAAGTATGACCTACGCATGCAATTATGTGAACTACAATGTGCTTAATGAAGGGTATTTCAGGAAGGTGAATGAGAAGTCTTAAAACATACCATATTTCAAGTATCTCGTGATAAGCAAGTTTGTATCTTTTATAGACTGTCTCATCTACATTTTCTCACTTCAGTGATGTTTTGCATCTAAATACAAAGTTTCTCCTTCTGATATCAGCTAAAACTAATTACGTAACCGTTCTCACATACAGATGCCCAAGTATTTCTAAAGCATTCAGTTCCCCATTTCTTTCTGAGCAGGTACTCTCAGTGCTCCTGCCACAGATGCTGTCCTCACCTTATGTCCCTCACGCTGACCACATATGACTAGACAGGACTCAATTCAACCCATCCGGGGGAGTTTGCTAAATGTAAACCTCGCACAATCTTTCTTCGGTGAAGCACACTGGCTCCTGATTCCAGCTACGCCTAGTAGAAACAAACCCCACAAAAATTTTCTAGAAGAACAAGTACATAGTTGCTGTAAAATACAGAGGATTCAGTCAGTGGTAGTGGTTTGTAACTTTTCAAGTTCCCGTAACTAAGACTCAGTGAATACACAGGACAGGAAATTCCAACTGCTGGGGTTCAGAGGTTACTTATATTGCCAGAAGAAAATACAGACTTCTGTAGTTTCATCTCTGATGAAGCTAGATTCAGGTATAAACAGAATTACTAAAACAATGTCAAATGGGACCCCCCTCCCCCCCAAAAAAAAGGCATGACAATTTTCTTCTGCACTTCATTTATTTTTTAGAAATAAATGCAGGTCTGCATCTTCAGCAAGCATAAGACTCCCTTACTTCCCTTCAGTTTTGGAATCCTACTCCTAAATTCTGGTTTCTGTGCCATATACGTAAGATGGATGCCAAATAGCAGGTATTCCTTTTCATAAAGCTTTTAAATAGGTTCTACCCAAGAGAAGTAGGAGGCCTCTATTTTACACCTTTGTGTCACAAAGTAGCCAAAACTTGGAGAAAAAGTTCTCAAGGAGATTCACCTTCATATGTATCTGTAACAAACTACTGCAGATTTACAATCTAGAGTAGGTTCTTCTATGATATTTGGATCTTAAGTCAGCTTCAAGCATCTGTAGTAGCTGGCCACAGGGTTGAAGTATAACTTCAAAGAAATTTACTTAGCTGGTTTGTATCATGCAATGTATTTTGATACTACAGCTTAATAGTGTTTTGAAATTGGCAGAAAACAAAATATTTAGGATAAATCCAATGGCAGAAGCCTGCCATTGCTTTCCATTCACATCTTAGTACAAACACAGCTTTTATAATTGAGATCAGCGACATTCACATCAGCACAGTTCTCTAATGGCTAAGATCCTATGACCTACCTCATGCAGGAGCAGAGTAGCAGGACAAGACATCATCCTACCATACAGAATTCTTCACATTAATACTTACAGGGGCAGACTAAAGCCACCGTTGGACCTTGCCAAGAGACATTTCTAATCTGACATTCAAACCAGGGAAGATCCACAGAAACTCTTCTGTCATAAACCTATATCTGATCCTGGTACCAGACTGACTCCGGACAACTGAGATAAAAAACATAAAACCAAAGTGCTGAAAATATTATAGAACTGCTCTACCTACCACAAAAATTGTTTTTAATGATTCTACTCTAGCTCTAGAAAACAAACAACTTATTTCCGCGTGTTTATGTTGGGTTTTTGGACATAACTATTGGTTAAATTAATAATGTTGAAGGATAGGTATTGATTTTTCTCTGAGTTAGCATCTGATGCAGAATGCTCCAAAGCATCGATCTGCTAACAGAATGCTATGTCACACATTTTCAGCTAGCTCTATTTCAAAGACGCGGCAACTGGTTTGGTTTTGTTGTTCAGACTGTGCATTTGTACGTGTAATAATACTATCAACCAAAATTAAACACAAAACATATATAAGGCTACCTAAAAACCTAAACCAAAAGAGCATAAAGACACATACAATGTCAAATTTGCACGTGTACATTTATGCAATGCTGCTGTGATTCACACCATGCATATCCTGTTTTGGGGTGGCCCCAAAATGTCTAAATAAGCCCACAAAAGGAGAAACACTGACCCATGTTGCAAACATCTTTTTACACATTCAGAGGAGCTTTTCTAAGGCTCATTCTAAAACTTACTGTTTCTCTCTGAGCTTCTGGATTTTTTTTTTTTTATTTTATTATAAACTTGATTCTTTGTGATGGCTCCTAAATTACTTGGAAATGAGGAAAGAGGAAGAAAGGAGAGAGGTAGAAAGGAAATTATTCTGGCACCATCCTTCCCTTCCTATTCAAAGGTCTTTAATTACTACTCTGCTATTCCAAATTCAAGGCAATCTTTCCCATACTAAACCTCCAACTGAATGAACACAAGTGAAAACAAGTCACTTCAGGACTCATCTCATTTTCACTTCCTTATTAGTGACTTTCAAAGCTACTGAAAAGAATACATCCAACATAAACTTCTGAAATACTGTACAATACATATTATTATTCAAACGCCTAACAGTGTCACTTCAATTAATCTGAGAGAATAATGGTATCTTTGCATTGTGCGACTAAAACACCTGATGCACCAAAACTTTTCAACCTGCTATCTGGCAGAACACTAGTGACTTAAGAGCCATAAAAGTAACAAGTGGGGGGAAAAAAAAAAAAGAAAAAAGGAAAAAAGAGAACTTTGGCATATGGAAAATCCCAGCATGAAACTTGTTTATACAGTATTGTAAATGCTTTTCTTTCAAAGTTCTCAAATGTGATGGTAGTTACAAATTAAAATGAATTTTTCTAGTTCATGAGTAAATCCTACCTTTTAGCCTTAAAAATTTAAACAGTTTTAAGTTTGTGAGTGGTGAAAGAATCCCCTTCTGCTTAACAGACAGTGAATAATAACACAGCATCCATTCTCAGCTTGCAATGGCTGGAATTGGGGCTCACATCCACTTTTTCCTACTGGCAACACAAGTAGGCCTTCTGAGTACCTATCGCTGTTTCTGAATATCAAATATTACGGACCAAAATAGCAAGTGGAAGTCTCATGAGAACTGTTGACCAAAAAAAAAAAAATAATCACAGGCAGCATTTAAATCCCAGAGAGCCCTAAGGGAGTTTTTCTTTATGAAATACATTATTTTTATGACTAAACTGCACAAGTGACCATAGAAGAACTATAAAACAGGGGAAAAAAAACAAGTGTGCTCACCTCTTGCACAAACGAAACAAAAGCCTACATTTACAGCTGATGAGGAGTGATTCCTTTTGGAATGGTTACTACAGATGAGAATGTGGGATGACACAAACAAGCTTCCTGCAGCAATACAGCCATCTCCTGAGTGATAGGCAATGGGACATCTGAAACATCTCACCATGCGACCTGTTTAATATAAATGCAGAAAAATGCACCGTGTCACCCTGGAGTCAGGATATGGTAGAAGACACCACAGACAGATGCAAGGCTGATTTTTATTCCAATCAGAGTACTAGATTTAAAAGAAACATTTACATCTTTAAAAAAAAAGTTTCACAAAGGTTACCTCTTGACTTTCAATTTAAAACTCTGTTAAGAAAAAATACATGGTTTTAATCATTCTAGAGTCTACTTGTTTTGTTTAAATATTTTGGTTAATTTCAAAAAGGATTCTTTTTTTCTTGAAAAATAATTGTTCTAAAGGCCACTACCAACTGTCTTTTTAAAAAAAGCATTCCTTGGCCTTGCACTTCTAACCCTTGGCTCCCATTAAACCCAGCAACAAAAGATGACATAGATGTTGCAGATCCAGGTATACTTAGACAGCGATCTCAGGCTGCTAGCTGTTTTCCCACCCACAACAGATTTAAGTTAATGACCTCATTAAGAAGGAAACCCTTGTTCCTTGCTGCACGCTGCATTACAGAGGGTAGAGTTATATTCATTGTTATTGTGATGACGCCATTCGAGTTTCCTCCTGCTGTTCAAAGCCAGCTCTATTATTCTCACCTTTGCTTGCTTTATGAATATCCTTATCCATTGAGCAGGCAGTACAACAGTGCTGCGGGCAACGAAATCCTCGTGACTCGAACAGAGCAGTGGCAAACTTGCGAACACAGGCCTCGTGATAAAATTTACCGCACGTGTTGACGGAACAGCGCTTCACATCTTTGCCAGGAAGTTTGCATGAAAAGCACGTATGTTCTCCTTGCAAAAGAAGGAAAAAGGAAGCCCAATTGTAACGGCCAAGTCTTTGAGATACAGATGTTGTTAAAAAAAACAGTTACACTGGTTTGAGCAACACAGGCTCCTTCCCTTCAAACAGGTAAGTTGGTTACTATAATCCACAATAACTATGCAATTGCTGTTAACACAGAAAGTCCCTTATTCTGAGTAAAACCCTAAACAGTTTATTACTTTTTTTTCTTACCAGGTAGTCGCTAAGTGGAAAATGAGAATCTGGCCTCAGAGGTTAAAAAAGAAATAGAATAACCCAAACGCACTCCCAAACCCTGGAAACTTACTATCTCAGTTTGTTCTGACCAGCACACAGCTCCTCAGCAAAGTGGGAAATCCCTCCCCATTTTTCAGACACGGGAACACACTCACCGTTTTTACACTCAGTGCAGATGAACTTCTCATCGGGCATTGACTTCAGGCCGAGACACTCCATATGAAAGACACTGCAACACTCGCCCTCGCAGGACACCAGAGACTCACCAGAGCTCTCGCAGATCTTAAACAAACAGACAGCTCGTCAGAGAACAAAGGGTACCTGACATACTGAAATGCAAATGACTACCAGATGTTTAACAAAGAATAGAAACGGGCTGAAATCTCTTCAGAGCTAAGATAAGGCAGGAGAGCTGGCCTACAACCCACTGCAGACCTGATAAGTCTCTGGGCTGAAGACAATCCCAGCACTTTCTGCATCTTGCTCTCATAACAGCGCAAGCCTGGACAGAGATAGGAGAGGCACTACAGGATCCATCTGGACTCCTCATTTTCTCACGCACCTGAAGAGCGAGAGCAGCTTGTTCCCTATCGACCAGGAAACCAGCCAGAAGATTCCAGGATTTTCTCTCCAAAATACTGGAAAATTCTCACTCTGCCCTATCCTGAAAGACCATCTGAAATCTTCGAACGGAGCAGAAAATGGCATCTACTTTTTCTACTTATGCTAGCAGGTAAGGATTAGACGCCACTTTCTAGCTTTTGAGCTTCCTAGCATGCAGGAGGGCTTATGAATCATTTCCAGAGCATAAAAACTCCTAAAAGCCTTGATATTTTATCTGAGATGTTGAATTATGAGACATGGTTAAAACAAAGTAGCGCAATTTGAAGAGTCTGTCAGCGCAAACTAACAGAAATGGATAATACATCTTTAGTATTCATTTCTTTACAGTACCATCATTTACCTGACAAACAGTGTCTTTTTTATTTGTTCCAGTTCCTCTCCTGGATAAGCTAGAGTCTACCGACTGCACATCAGAAGCATCAGCATCGGCAGTAGCTGATGGGCTGTCTGAACGTTTTCCAAAACTACCCTACAAAGAGGAAAAATCCAAGGCACTCAAACAAGACACTTTCAAAGGACAGCCACGTTCTGGAAAAAAAATAGTTAAGTCACCACCGATTAAAAGATCGTTCGATATGTCAAGAGATACAAAGGTCCTTGAAAGTTGCTGAACTTCATTACAATGATACAAGGAGTGCTGCCTTCTTGACATATCTTTTACCTGTACAAGCGAAAAACCATCAAGGTATCTATTTTACTTTTTCCAGGCACCTCTCAATTTTACACCAAAATACAGCAGCATCTCCCAATTCCCAGAGAATCTAACAACCTTCCAAAAAGCAAACCGAGTCAGTGATCTAAACCAATGTTTTGCCAGACAAAGAAGTAGGAAAATTTGTAAAGAAAGATTGTATTTTTTTTAATATCAATACAATGGAGGGGATTAGAAAGAAAAAGACGAGGATTTATTTTTTAAACAATAAAAGACATGGAATTTGTAGAAAATACAGCGTTCACATATTTAGCAATACTGAAAAGCCTATTATACTGACAGATTAAATGAACAAGTCCCTGTGAGAAACAATATGCCTTTACCTGTAAATCATTGAGTCCTCTTGAATCAGAGTCAGATGTATCTCTGTAAGCTGAACTAGTCAGTTCTACGTCAGTTGAGGCACGACTCCTTTTCTTTAAAGGTTTACAAGAATCTGAAATCTCGCTGGCACCTTAACACAACATACTAAAATTAGTTTTAATAGATGTTCTCAACTTTTTTGCTTAAAATTAATAAAGGAAAGATGAGAGACAGCCTGAAACTGCACTTTATTTGCTAGCCTTAATTTTCAGTTTGCAACTTTGATAGTAGTTTAATTCTTCCCAAAAAGCTAATTAACTGAAAACGACCTTAGGAAGACCTTTTGACAAACTTCTGAACATGCTGACATAGTGGAGGAAGCTACTAAATTGTCTACAACAGAGGATAAACCCTTAGGAGATTACCTCTTCATCATTCATCTTTAAAATATGGCTGAGCAAAGACTTTTTTTTTTTTTTAAATTAAGAAATGTCCAGAAGGAGGACGTATAATATGTGCTTACAGCACCTTAACAAACACTATCTTTCCAACTAGCAATGCACAAACACCACCACCACAACCCCAGAAAACCCTCAACAACAGAAATTAAGATCAGCATCTATCATGTTCATCACCAGAAAGCGTTAAGACCTCTGCAGTTTACGCAGAACGAAAGCCATTGCTGAAGCGTGATGAGCCAGGAACTTTATTATTAATAAAGTTTATTTTCGTATGTAACTCACCTTTCTGCAATCCTGTCTTCACTGCTGTCAGTGGAACCATTTCAACCTGTTTGAATAGGAAAATCCATAGTTAAAACCAGAGGAATTTTTCTCCCTAGTATTAAAAAGAAAACATTAAGTTTAAGCGATTAGCATCTCTGAACTCAGATGTAGTCTGTCATCCCCTTCTTAGTGTGAGCCTTCTTGTCCTGTTGGGTTTAATCCTAGCTGCCTACGCTGAGTACCAGGAGACAAGGCAGCCATACGTGCACTAGCAAGGTCCTTTCCAATCACTCCCTTTGGGCATGAAGATGACAGAAAAGCTTTATCCGTGTCCAGCAGGCAGGAGCGGGGTTCGTTTTGGCAGCCAACCCTGATGCTTTTCTAAAACCCCACACCTGTGTAAGCACAAGCTCCCCTCATCCTAGCTGCCTACTCTGAGTACCAGGAGACAAGGCAGCCATACGTGCACTAGCAAGGTCCTTTCCAATCACTCCCTTTGGGCATGAAGATGACAGAAAAGCTTTATCCGTGTCCAGCAGGCAGGAGCGGGGTTCGTTTTGGCAGCCAACCCTGATGCTTTTCTAAAACCCCACACCTGTGTAAGCACAAGCTCCCCTTAACAGGTATGACGCTCGGGTTAGTGAGACACTTAATGCATTGCCATTTAAGGCACTTCCACCAAGCATGCACTCTTGAGCTCCTGGGAACAGACTTTCTCTCTGTATAGAGTGCTGCAAGGCGCCCAGGGATGGCGAGACGGACTTGGCACACAGCATTGCAGGGCTCTATACAGCTGGAAACTCAATGTCAGTATACAGTTAAGCAGACAAGTTTACAATCTTGCAAAAGCGGTTCAAGTTCTCGATCCTATATCAGAAGGATAAGTTTAGAAACTGTTCTGCCAATGTACATGTAACACGTGAGAATTTGGCGACTGTATAATAATTATAGAAGAAAGTTGTTGCCTAAAATCCTGTTTTTAAGGTTAAGAATTACAAGTTATTTCTTTACAATGTGGTTACATATGCATGTAGAAACACATTTAGTAAATATTTAAGGATTATTCTATAATTTTTTTAAAAAATATTTTATTTTGTTGTACAATAGGTAAAAACATACAATAGAAGGATTTGTATAGGATACATTTCGTAATACAAATATAAAATCTAAACAATCACTTTTATTTCTCCTCTATTCACTGTAACAGTAGCATTAACATTTTGTTTTTCCCATTAATTGTACTCGTTCCAGTTATAATTTTATACCAAGTTGTTGCAGACTAATTTGGGAATCAGTTGCAAGAAAACTTGACTTTGGGTAACAAATATTGTTGCATAATTGTAAGAAGTTAGTAAGTTTTGTTTTTTTTTTAATATAACTTAATACATAGAAGGTTATGCGCATTACAGTGCATCTGTGTTTAATTTTTAGTCATATACTTTTCCTGAGAAAAGCACTTTAATGTTCATAGTCTTAGTTAGCTAGATAATATAAGCAAGCAAAGCTAACTGGGATCCATGAAGTTCATATTGTTGGTTCTTATACCTTTGTTAAATTAAGAAACATTTACAAACATAAAAGAACTCATTTGAAAACAGGGAGGCTGCAACACCTCATGACAAGAGGCTTAAGGGACTACGTCAGGTATCTTACGCCCAACATTTAAGTTGCTTTAAAGTTTCAGCAAGAAACTTTCCAGAGTTAGAGCATTCTTCTGCTGAACACAGGTGTAAATGCTATGGCATCAAAAGAAAAATATGAAAAAAAAAAAGCAACTGGGTCCACTTTCAATCTCTGAAGTGAATGAAGTGCAAAAACAAAGCGTAAAGGGTAAAGAATAAATTAAAATAAAAGAGATAAAAACAATTTTTCCCCTTCCCATATAAATCTTTAGCCTGACTGTCCCTTTTAAAAAATTCTCACTGGTAAAAGCTATACTATGAAACATTTTATATAAAATTCTCAGGTTTCAAGTGGAGAGGCCCTTGAAGAGGGAAAATCAACCATGTAAGGAAAAGAACCAACAACTTTGACAAACTTGTTAAAAAAGTTTATTCTGTTTTTAATATTAATGTCCATCCACTGAACTTTCCTACTCATTTCCAAACAGAATTTTTTATAATTTTTTTAAAGCAACAACATTTGTCTGTCTGACATCCAGATTAAAGGAATGCCCTGTACATGTTAGATCTACTTAAGGAAAAAAAAACGTATATCCCAGAAGATCTGTTTTGCTGATGTCTGCCAACATAAAAGTCTGACTATTCATCTTTAAGTTAAATCATTCTTAAAGTCCATTTTCAAAAGTGGTCAGATTAATCAGTCTAACTTCATTTGAAAAACAAAACCTCAATACAAACCAGCAGCTAAATCAAGAGCAAAAGGAAGGAACCTGGTGGCAATTCCATCAAATAGAAGTTACTGAAACAAGATCATTTGCTCATAACAGAAATCTCAAAGTAAACATGGCAGGTTCATTAGGAGTCTTGCATCATTGAGTTCCCATTTTCCATAGCCTGACTGATACTGTGAAGATGCCAGTAGCAGAGTCACAGCAATGGTATTGACAAGGGGATTTCATGAAGGATAGTCCAAAACGAAACCCGATGGGGAAAAATGGAGAAAAATAAAAAGGCACCAATATAAGCCACAACATTTATGAATACAATATATTTTAACTCTCTACATGGAGGAAGCCAACCTGCTCCTTTTTGATCTTCTTCTTTGGCACAACTTCAGTGGATTTCTCAGACTCTGAGCGGGTTCGAATCGATCTTCTCTGTTGCTTCTTTTCTACAGAACCTGAAGAAGGAAAAAGGTTTCCATTATATGATTCCTTGTATTTCAGAGGTACAGCAAGATGTTCAACACCAAATCAACAGATAAAGTAACGAAACCAAGACTTTTTCCTCTTTTGAATGTTTTATTTTTAAATTCAGTTCCAAGCTATTTGCCAACCAGTGCTGTGGTTGCAGACAACACGTTCTGATTCCATAGACAGACAGATCAGCTTCAGAAAAAGACACTAGTAACAGAGTGAAAAAAAAGCTGGAATCCAGTGTAGGGCAAACAGATTTTCATAACACACCTCTCAAGCACAGTCTTCACTTTGGTTAATTTTTAAGCAAACAGTCCATCTTTGGCGTTTCTGGGAAGGTATTCACAATCAACTTCTTGAACTAAAACAAGCTAGAAATTTAAGACGCAAAACACAGCTTCCAAGATTTCACTCAAAACACCAGTTCTGTGCCACTGCTCTGTGGGGGGATAGCCTTCTCTCAGAACTGGCTAACACAAAAACTTAGAGCCAGAACCACGCTGTAACACGTGCCATCAATACGAAATCTGAACACTCAACTAAAGATTTCGAGAGGTGAAGGAAAACTCAGCACAAACAGAAGCAGTGATCATCATGTGTTATTATAATTAATGAAAGTGAAAAACAAGTTTTTGAAAATATTACCATGGAAAACAAACCCAGATTAATGAAGGTTATTATGATATTTCAAGAGATGAAGTAGGAGCTGCTGGGTTTTTGACAACTAAGGTTGGCAAAATCAGAAGACCTTTCTATGCTGCAGTACCTCCAAAAAGGGCATATTGAGAAACATGTACACAACACTTAACACCATGTGCAACTTTTGGAACAAAGTACACACTTAGAGCTGTGCTGACAGAAAACTGAAATTTGAAGATTTACAATTATCTGTTGTGAAGCATTATTCTCGTTTCTCAGATTTGGGTGTTTTACCAAAAGACGACATGAATGTAAAATACTTCATATTCTTCCAAGCAAAAATACAAACTCTTGGGACCAGGAATTAGCTTACTGTGCCAGACAGATATACTGTTAGAAGTTGTAAACCTGCGTCTTCTTGTTAGGAGATAAAATATCTAGAGAGATATGCAGGCTTTCGTGAGACACTGAAAGAAAGCTTTTCAAAAGGACTCCAGAAAAAAAAAAAAGAAGATTCATCTTGATTAATTGGATGAGCATTTTTATCAAGGTTGCATGGCTCAGGAATATCTCAGTAACTAAACTTTCCACTTGAAAAAGTTGTCATTTTACAATAACTGTACTTCTGAGGGGGGAAAAAAAAAAGAATTGTTTTTCTTCGAGGGAAAAAAGTTTTACAGCATATTAGCTAATTAATAATAGCAGTGAGTTATGTTTTTCTTTGAGGGAAAAAAGTTTTACAGCCTATTAGCTAATTAATAATAGCAGTGAGTTATTAATAATTCAGAAATTAATAACTCAGCTCAGTATCCTTCATGTTAGCACACGTGCAACTTTTGGTTCCAATGAGCCACATCCTTTGAGAGACACACACAACTATGATGGATGTCAACACTAAAGCTAGGGGCCATCTTTTGTCACCTTTGTGTTCAGCCAAAATTCTCTGAAGCAGCTTAAAGTAAGTTTGAGCAAGTGTGACCAAACAGTTCATTTAATCAACAACATATTTTCTCCCTGCGCTGCCCCACTGTAGTAAGGCAAATAAGATGCGAGCCCTGTATCAGAGGAGAAACTACAGAATCAGTGCATCTAATATTGGCTGAAAGCAATACTGATCAATGCAACGGGCACTTTTTCCTCTTCCCGCTCTCCAAGGATCCAGTGCATCACCTCCACAATGCTCCTATCCCGTCTTCGTGCGTATTTTGATCCAGAGTTTCAGGACAGATTTCAGACCAGCAATCTACCTCACTACTGGCCAGGTCAGGTCAGGTTAATCCTGTTTCAGCTGTATGTGGAGACCAGAGGCACTATGAATTCTCATAGTTGTTCTCTTATTATCAGATTTCAAGTTACAGAATTATTTTCCCAGCATTATGGAATTCTGTATATCTAACTGCAGGTTATTAATAAGGACTCCCAGAGCCATTCTGTAAAATACTTTACCGTAAAGGTATTCTGAAGTTCCGGTGACCTTAAATTTGAAAAAAGGACTTCGCAGTTATGTTCCATGAGAGGGGACCAATAACTGTCTGGACTTTGGAAATGGCTTTGAAAGTGACTGTTTGGAGTGTATACTGAAGTAAAGCTCATGCACTCTATAGGGTGTTATCAGGTGGAGTTTTACGTATCCAAAAAACCTAAGAAAATGAAAAAAGAGAGGCTCAGAATTCTCACCCCCCTACGTCTGAAGAGCCATTGTGAAGGTGAAGCCTTTAGTTCCCAGGTGAGAGAAACAAAACAGTGATCACCTCTCCTGCTGCAAGGCAATTAAAGTCGCAACTGATTGAAAAAACTGAAGTAGCTACAGCAACTAAAACGGAAAAGAAGAACCACTGTCGACACCAGAGGACACCCCACTCGCACCAGAATATCCGGAGTACTCAGCCTGTATTGTAAAGTCCCCAAATACAGTCCATAAAACAATGTATATAAAAATAAGCCTACCTAAAAACTATGCAAGTACAGGAACTAAAGCGTGTTTGCAGAGGACAGTGATCCCATGGATGTTGACCACTGAGATTTTTGACCTGGAATCTCATTTATTTTACGTTTGGAAAGGGAGAAATAACCAAACAGACGGATAGTTACAGCAGAAGTGACACGTGGCAACATTATGAGATATTTTTCTCAAGAAGAAAAGAGGAGTTTTTAGCATGTGTACTGTAATAAGTGTTCCATCTTTTTTTGCTTCCATACCATGAGCATTTGTACATCCTACTGTGAGAGAATATCAAGGTGCTCTGCTGTAATCTAAAATTTACTTTTACATACCAAATGTAAAACTAAGTATGTTTGAGGCTATACCAAGGATACAATTACAAGCACAGCAACAAACATGCAGAAGTTAATGGATTTTACATGGCCTGTAGAAAATCTGTGGTTGAAAAACAGAAGTCACTATAGGGACTGGAGGAACTTGAAAAGCTCTTGGTTTAGGATGACTCAAAACTGTCTCTTTTCAGGAACCTCCATCCTTTCACCAAAGGGTATCTGTCTCCTCTTCAGGATGATGAGAGGACATACCACAAACAAATTTCTGCTGGTGGGGAAAAGCTCAATCCCTTTGGAAGACTTCCTATTAGCTATTTCTCAAAAATCAAAACATGAAAAAAATGTTGTTGTTCTGTTCCAAGTCTAGGAAGCACTCATCCAGTTTACCTTTCTCATTCTGCTCTACTACTGTACTACAAATTAAACTTCAAATAACTTGTTCCAGGCTTTCCCTTTTCAGTCTCAAGCTCCATTATTTGCTTCAGTGGTGGTTCTCCCTCAGACATAATACTTCAAAACTTAGTGCTTTATGATGGGGCCCCTAAAATGCCTTCAGAAGGCAAGCATTACCTCATTTTGCTGATGGAGTTAGTTGAAGCAGTTTAAAAAAAAAAATCACTATCCTTTACAAAGGTCATGCAGGAACTCAACAACAAAGTCTAGGAAAGCACCCGATTCAGAGCCATTCCTTACTGAACTATGCCACTTCCAGATTCTCTTCCTTTGATCCCAGCTGTTGTATTTTACATTTGGTGCCAAAAGCCATTACAATACTCCGCTAACACACCTCCACTACGTTGTCTTCTAAAACAACTTGCCATCTGCTCTCCACAAGGCATCCATCCTTCTAATATGTTGACTTAGATACTGCAACTTGCAGATGCTAAAAGTTCAGAGGCCAAACCAGCTAATCCCATCACAAAGACATCCTGTGTTTCTCAAGCATCTGGGCTCATCATGTGTTATATTAGCCATGCTTGTTACAACTATTATGTAAACAGAAAGATGTTAATAATCATTTTTAACTAATGAGAAAATGTTGGGTTTGATATTTGAATTTAAATTCTAGATTGCTAAAATTCAGACAAGGATTCTGCAATTTTGCCTACCTGTTGACCCACAAGTTGTTTCAGGAGAGGACACATTTTGCACCGCTCCTTTTTCATTTCTCTGATTTGATGAAGAATTAAGTTTCTCTTGTCCTTTGACGCTTATTTCTGTTTTGTTACCAACTCCCTTAAAAAGAAAAAGAAGAAAAGGTTCTCTTAACCTATTTATGCGTGTGTTGTTGCTAACGGGCACACTGATCTACTCCTAAGTCTCACAACAGAAACATTCAACGCTCTTCAATGCAACACATACACATGATGGTATCTACTACTGAGCTGCTTCCTTGCAGAACTTTCCATCCCTCTCAATCTCCCCTTACACACAAGGAAAAAAAAAATATTCCAGTGACTTTTCTAAACATTACCTTCTCTCTAATGCTTAGGATGAAATAAATACCCTCCAGGTAGAGAGGCAGAAGAAGGAGGCAGAGAAATAGTCCTAAACCTTTTCCTTACACTGACTGTGAGAAGCTGCTGTGCACCTGAAGGAAGCTAGGAGGCAGAACTCATTTTAAAAGTCTGTTATACAAAAGGTAGTTATTACTTTTTAATACATTTTTAATAGTTTTGTCATCTTACCTGTTTCCCACAAATCCACTGATTTTAAGATTTACAGAGAATTTATGGATTATTTCAACTAGGAAGCTGGAATTAAACAGCTTTAATATTTTGAATGTGTTATGAGCAAAAATGTGACCATCTGTAGGGAGCTCCTCTGCCACCAGTCAAAATGGTTACTGCCAGAGACTTTTGGATGCACTGAAATTAAGAGTTCAGTGCACTAAAAATTCTGTTGTCACACCTGTCTTTTGTTAGATTTAATCTCTCCAATGAAAGGAACATGTATTGTGAAAGCTTGGTGGACACAAGTTTAAGCTCCACAGTAAGACAGACTTGGAATAATTTAGTAACAAAAGAGGAGTCACTACACAAAATACATACCTTAGTGGAATAAACAAACTGATCGATGAGTTTTCCATCCCCAGCAGCATTCTGAAGGGCAAAAACCTGTTCAATTTTAACAACTGGAGACATGTTACATTTTTGAAGATCCAAGTTGTGCATGGTTATTGAAGCTGGTAAGGATTTTCTAGCTGCAGCTGTTTTCCATGCGATTTTCACAGGAGGTGGCTCCTCTTCTTCCACACTTGACTGCCTCCGCTGGCTTTGTCTTCGCACCTCAGCATTTGAAGGCGATGCTGCTACCACGTTGGCATGTTCTGGCTGGGTGTTCAATGCTGGCTTCGGTCGTCGGTTCTTCTTGGTCTCTGATTTAGAAGCAGCAGTCTTTTTGGCTTTTGACAAAACCTCCTCTGGCTCTTTGTCTATATAAATGAAGGTGTATTGTTCTATCCTTTCTTCCCGCGTCATTTTCAATGCTTTCTCAGCATGGGCAATACCAATATCCCACTGAGCACGCTCTCTTTGTGGCCTTGGTTTGCGAATCTTAAGGAACAAAGACAAGCAGCTAATTACACTGAAGATTTTGCCATGTATAGCACTTAAAATGCAATCCTGAGGTTCTTTAAATCTCTCAGGCAGCAGATTTAAGTTTGCTCTCCATTTACAAGGTATTTTTGAAAGGTGGACAGCAAATCCCCTGCTCAGAGTAGAAGCAGACACTCGAGCTGGATCATATGACCATCACAATTAAAAGTGTCTACCCTGAGTTACAACTTCACTGAAGACAAGAACAGGCAGTATTCAAGCCTGTAATTCTGTTATGAGACACAGAATTAATCCTAATTTATCTACTTTTTAAATCCTCCTTATTTTTTCTATAAACACTCTTTTCCTTCCACATCAATATTTTGATTAGCATATATATTGACTGAAGTAGTCCATCTACACAGTAAGTAATTCCTGTAGCTAACACTTCCTTTCCAATAAAGCAATGGGAAAGAACATATTCACTAGTATCAGGGGCTGGAAGAGTGTCCTTTAAAAACTGTATTTTCCAAAGAACAGGTTAATAGTGAACAGACAGGCACGGTTTTATCTAATATTCTAATACAGATGTAAAATTATATCCAATGCCCAAGATGACTACCATCATGAGGAACCGACAAAGTAGGTTCAGCTATCAGCCTTTTCACATGAAAGTCATAAGAGTATGGAAACATTTTCACGTCTTTGCGAAAAACACTTCTGCCAGTGAAATGCAGACAACCCTTTACAGGGTGAAGTACTACAGTGTTTCAGAACTGCCTCACGAGAGTTTCACTTACACAGGCACTGTAGATAACCCTCTACACAATTAGTGCTCATCATACCTTCTGTTTCTCAGAGTGGTTGCTGGCTTGCTTAGCAGCCTCGGCCAATAATTGCTCATATTGTTTGTGTCCTTTGTACTCTCGAACCCGCTTCTCGTGCACCCACGCCCTCTCTGGCTGGTTGCTAAAAAACTGAACATGGTATTCACGGGCACCTGAAAATGAAAAATTCTAGTCAGTAGTTTTATCAACATCACTTTGCTCGTTTAGCTTACGCTTTCCTCCTCCACATCACTCGACTCCTGCAGGTGGAAGTACCTAGCTAAAGTTTAGAAGCAAGATGGGCCTAGATTTAGAACAGTTTAAGATGGGAAGATAAGTATACCTTGCCCATACTGAACACTCTCACACTTATCAGTGTCTTCTCATACATACATTGACTTGAGAAAAGTGGGAGCATCTGTGCACAAGCCTAGTTTGCACAGGCTCATCTGTAGACGTAATTTTGTAAGTACTAGTTTGATACATTTCAGGAATAGTCCTGTTTAGCATATACACAAGCAGAATTCATCCTGCAAAGGGAGCTTTAAGATAAGATATTTTTAATAAAGGAACAACTACAGACACTTGATATATTCTAGCAAAGATCTTCCTCCCTTACCTCTTGTATTAATTTTGGTATGAACATCAAGCTGTGGATCACATGAAACCATGCAAGGCCACCACGGGTATGTTCCCACCTTGGACCAAACCAGATCGCCAACCTGAAACTTGATGTCATGGGTGACTTGTGTTGGAAGAGAAGGCAAGAACTGCTGGACCTACAAAGAAAATGCAAGCTTAAAGCCACAGAAGACAATTTAGCGCACTTAGAGCTGCACATGCTATCCACAGGGACTTGTTATTTTTCACTCAGTATCCCTGACGTTTGATAATCTAACACAAGATAAACATTTCTTAGAAACATGACAGAAAGGAGTTACATACAGCTAGGATTTACAGAAGATAGTCACTGACAAACCAAGACACACAACAGCAACCTCCACCACCACCCCAAAAAAGTTTCCGCTTCATAAGTTGATTAAGAACATTACTTTTGGGATAAAATAAAGCAATAAATACAGTACGAGAGATGTTTTGATGCAGTAATGATTAATAAGAGTTTCAAAGAAATGGCAACTGATTTATCTGACAAATTAAAGCACCCATGTAATAATTAGTCCAAAAATAGTAACACACTAGTAGTTCAAAAAGTGTTAATTAGTATATGTACTAACCGGGGTTTCCTCCAACACTGTATCTTCTCTTGGTCTTTCTGATAGCGTGCTAAGCCTCTCATTTGGTCTCTAGGAAATGGGTAACAATGAAGAGAAAAAAGGAAAACAAACACAAACAAGGTAAGGGGACAGTAAAACAAACAAAAAAAGCATAATAATGAAACCAGGCAGGAAAAATAATTCGCAGAGAGAAGGGCAACCATGAACCCAGAAAATATGAATATGACGACTCCTTACGCCCAATTCAAAACATAGTAGCATCACAATAAAAAAATACCTTTTTTCCCTACACTATTTACATTACCATCACGCCTACATACAACAATGTTCTCCTATAACAGGTGATAGAAGAACGTACACTCAGGGACAATAAACCCAAATAACTTTCCACTAAATTAATATACAACTTCAAAGAAACAGAGAAGAACATATGAAGGACATCCATAGTAATGTGATGAGTCTCACTGTATACCAGTTATTTGCAAAAACTACATTACAAAAATCATATTAAATATACAATATGAAAATTGTAAAATCGATGTTAAATTGCATATAGTTGACAAATATATTTTGGTGGATCAAAAGTCAACAACATAAAGCTTACGGTGCATTTATAAGCCAGGCTGAGGCACACATGCAGTCTATTCTGGCAGAGTAGGACAGGAAAAGGTTTTGACAGAAGAGGGATCACCACTGAACAGAAGCTAACGTCATCAGTGGAGTGCCATGATAGGGAGTGTGATGACACAGCAGGTGAGAAGATAAGAGGTGGGCCATGAGCTATCTAATGAGACAGAGACCAGACACTTGCTTTTACTACAGCTGAGAAGTCATTAGTCAAATGACTCAAAGAGCAGCAAAAAGGAGTCAGACACATGCAGTGAGAAACTAATAATGCTGTTAATCCAAATTACACCTAGTGCATTTAAAACGAAGACCCCATGTTAGTCAATACTGCATGCTTCAGCTCAGAGAAACTAGGAAACACACATGTAACCTTTGTTGTTCTAGACGATGTTCAGTTCTAGCATAGGTCAGTATCTCATTTAGAGCTGTCTGTAGAAAATGAGCATTTTAAGACTGACCGTATTAATATTTGCTGGGCAGGAATCATTCCTCCCTGGTACAGCAGAAAGCACGGCAATGACTCCTGCCTTTCTTTTGCTACAGTGAGTTAGTGGAAACTTCACCTCTGCCAGAAGAGCCAAACTGATTATACAGATCACAAACTTTCAGCTCCTTGCAGGATACAACTAACGAGCAGAGTAACTTATTCTTAAAACAAGTATTCAGAGCTTAAAGTTCAACAATGTTTTAATAAAATTTTCATTTCAAATCAGCCTTTCAAGTATGAACATCACCCCACAGTCAGTGGGTTTCCACAGAGATTACAGTGCCAGAATGAGGAAACTACTGCAGATCACCTTACTTTCAAATAGCCATGCTGAGTATAAAAGTGTAAAACAACTGTTGTACCAGAAGTTTTGTTTGTTCCTATTAAGATGATCCTAAGTTACAAGTCTCATACCATTCATACTAAAGATGACGAAAGTGTACATGATGAACATACATGAAGATGAAATTGTGCAGTGGAAAGCCAAATGGTGGGAGGACGAAACTGAGACTGCACTGGATAATTCATAATGAAACCCACTAGCACAAAATCCTGTTCATGTCAGAGTGAGCTGCTGTCTGAAACAAGGGTGAATAACATGAGAGATTTTATTGCAACAGCACCTTTTGAAAGGGAAATGGAAGCTACAAGGAGGACAAAAGCAAGACCAAGATTTCTGGTGAATTCTAGATGACACATATGACTCGGAACTTAGAATTTGAGAGGCAAGGTTTTAGTTCAATCTGGGAAAGACAGAAGATTATGTTCTCGTGATAACCAAGTAACACCAGCCAAACAGAGGGACAGGCACAGCTGAAGCTTCAAGGGTAGAATCAGAATCCCTGGTAAGAGGGAGGACAAAATGGTAAGGCAAAACTGAGAGCCTGATGTGGGGGTGACAGAAGTCTGGAGAAGAGGGAGAAAGCCTGGATAAAAGACTGTGTTTTTAGCTGAATTCAAAGAACCAAACTCACTGAGATTTGATTTAAGTGAAACCTGGTGGATAAACGTATGATTACAGCAGCAAACAAAGGACAGGCGGACGAACAACATACGAGCAGCAGAGGCATTCAGCAGAGAGCTGACCATGAGAACAGACCCCTTTTCCTACCTCTATACGCAGGTATAATGCAGGCGCAAGGGAGATGCCATTCAGGGCATTGCCTTCCCATTATAACTGCCTCCTGGTAGCAGGTTGCCAGCTGGACATGTCAGTTGCTACAGCCACTTCAAAGTGGCTTAAAAAACCATTTCCAAGAACAAGAAAAAGATGTA